AGTTGAAAAATATTAAAACATCAATGTAAGTACCTATTACCAATTTTTGTCAATACAAAAACTCAATACCAGAGTGATTTTGATAAAACATAGTTTAGTAGCTATCACAGTTTAATTTATCCATAATCTGAGGTCGGTATTATGTAGAGTTATTTATGTACTTGCATCGAAATGTTGATAGAGATCTTCCCGGGATTTCTAATGGACAATCCCGTGTGGCCAACAATATTACAAATATATAATAATAAAAACCTTAAAGATAGATAAGACAAACAAAACAAAGATAATTAACATATAATTTTAATTATATTCACATTTTCTTCTAGACTAGACTCGTGAGGTTTTGCTTATTCAAGAGGCCCATCAGAATCATTTTCTTTATTCGATTCATTCGAAGTACTTCAAAGATTTGAAGTGTTCGCTTAAGACATTACTGTATAAATTTTATGAGAATAGAAGTATATAACCATTAGCTTTTCAATATTTTCTAGCTTCGATGAATTTCTCCGAACGTCTAAAATCCATTTTAACATTGAAAAAGATCGTTCTACGTCAACTGAGGTGCAACTTCAGACATCCGATGTCGTTGATATAAATTTGGCAACGTCGCGCGTGCAGTGGTATAAATTGTGTAAAAGTAAAGAACTTTTTTATTTAAATCACGGGATTTTTCTGCTTTTTAAATTTAATCTCGGGATTTGAGGCATATCCACTTTATTCTTTCGCTGTATGATATCAGTGTAAGTACATAAATATCTCTACCTAATTCCGACTTCTAATAATTACAATCAATAGCAATCATTAGTTATAATATATTCCTTCACCTCATGATGTTTTGTTTTGTATAATATAAGTCATACTTAAATCAAGATGATCTTAAAAGTAGAATAGTCTATTTTTTGTGTACAATGTATCCGGGTATCTTCCTGCCAGTTGTGACCAAGTACTTCATATATTTAAATTAGTTAGCACTTGGAATCCATAACTTTCCCGGCGTTCTTATGCTCGTATTTTTGCATTCAGCACAACACAACAATGATGTATATAACTCATTAATAAACATTAAAAAGTATTTTATTATAAGTGAAATCGGCAAAATTCTAGGAAAGTGACGTCACGAGTAGAACAGCAAGGCGGCTAGCGTTTTTACGCAAAAATTTAAAACAATAGATTAAAATTAATTTTTATGGCACTATTCGGTTTTAAAAAAATATATAAAAATTATAGTGGTTCATTACGACTCTAGATTTCATTAATTGATAAACATTGATTCATTTAAAACATTTTTGAAAATGGGTGTAATACCCTATTTTCGGAACCTAAATCCAAAAAATTCACTAGGCACGATCACCCTATTCGGCCGCCAGATCCCGTGGCAAACAACCGCAAAATATCTTGGGGTCACATTCGACCACTCCATGACCTTCGCGAAATACACACGTGCCGTCTGCAACCGTGCCAAATTCGTCACTAATCGCCTCCACCTGCTAATTAACAGTATGATTAAACTGTCCCTAAGACACAAGCTCCACCTCTACAAAGCTTGCGTAAGATCTATCATGTCCTACGCAAGCGTAGCCTTCGCACACGCAGCTCTTAAACGTTTGTACGAACTCAAAGTCGTCCAAAATAGATTAATTCACATCGCCACCGGAGCTCGGTAGTAACAGCGAAACTCTTTCACGGAGAGTCAACTTCCGACGATCTTTGAATATTTCAAGTAAATGTCTCGGCGCTACTTTGGAAACGCTGAGACACATCCTAACCTGCTAGTGGTAAACGCAGCAACCTACGCTCCGACTCAAAACGTTAAGCAAAGCCTCCGGAGGCCCCGCAACGTTTTAATTGAATCCCCAGTTCCGCTGGATTCCGAGGACACAAACGTCGCCGGCCCGTCACACATAGACACTACACATTCACCTAGTGCCACAAACACTGTTAGGACAACGGATGGGACACAGCAAGTCCACTCCACACCACGTACACACCGTACACCCGCGTCCCTGGACGGTCTCCTGAGACCTATGAAGCTGTAAAAGTCAAAAGGCTCATAGCATTAACATAATCAGAAACCAGTTCAATAGATCAGGCAGTTGTCTTATAACCGCCAACAATTATTTGGGTGTTGCAGATGTTCATGGGCGACGGAGATCATTTATCATTAGGAGCCGTATGTTCGTTTGCCTGCCTACTCTTCCATGAAGAAATATTATTTTTAATTAAAAACCTCAATAACTTAAAACAAGGGTGTACAACTAGTGCGTGTTGCCAATAATGACAAATAGATCTGAGACGTGGTCCTGCTCGCCGTATGAAGAAAATCAACGAGCTACTGAAAGAGCTACGCTAGGAGACAGAATACGAAATGAGAATATTCGCAGTAGAACTAGAGTAGCCCAACGGATTAGTACGAACTACTCTACGAACGAACAACCGAGAGAATAAGGTTCTCAAGTGGCAGCCTTGTACTCGTACCGGTAAGCAGAGTGTGGGACGACCCCATCACTATGTGATGGGATGACGACTTACGACATACAGGAAGTTGACTGTGCAGGTGTCTACAAATCTGTAATTTGGCATAGTTATTGATATTAATCACACCTACAAAATTGTGAAATAAAGTCTTCGAAAACATTTTTAGGTACCTCCTAAAACCCGCATGAACGAACATATAGCTGACGTGAAGCACCGACGCACCGGGAAGTCAGCGAACATGTTCAAAATCGATCCCACCATTACATTAGATTTGATAAACCATAACTCCTCGCAAAAGAACACCGATTCCTACCAAAAATGATACGCGACGCGATTAAAATTAAAAAACATCCTTTCAATAGAGTAGATGGATGGGTCCGTCTTCTCACTGTCAGTTTGGTATCCGATAGTTAAAAAAATTAAATCCAAACCCAAGCATAACAGTGCAATATACTGTAAGCTCGTTCGGCGTAGATCGATCCAAAAATTAATATTCAAAAAATGAAGGTAGTCGGGCGAAGTATGACACTGCGATGTCAAACATCTCAGTGCCACTCAGTGTCAAACATCTCAGTGCCCCTCGTGACAATGAGCGCTGTAAATCACCCAAAATGTCGGGAATCAAAAGTAAGTCAATTAAACGCGATAAAATCTGTATAAATAGTTTTATTCAATGTGTAGGTTCGCGTAAATTTAAGAAATAATTTCGTAATGTTATTGTAAACAGTAAAAAATAAATATTTTATGAAGATAACTACTTATATGCATTACTACTATACTTTACGGGGTTTGCAGGAAGCAAGCAGGGAGGATCTTTTTTACTTATTTAATACTTTCGCTTATTTTTTATTTGGTAGTTATTGCAGTCCTTAGTCAAAGTATTCATAGCCTAACCTATCATATAGCCTAATAGTTTCATTCGTGGTACTCTTTGTTTACGCGAGCGACCCTCGGGATAATTTAGAGCAGTGGTGGTTTACGGGAAGGTTCGATACGTTCATATAATACATCTTAGGGTTGCACTGCCGGGAATGTACAGATATAATAGTCAACTATGACAATTTTTGTACAGACTTTGCATGTGAACAATTTGATGTGGATTATATTATTTTTAAAATCGAAATGTATTTTTAATCTTTTTTGAACACCACTTGCCTATAAGTCTAATTGGAAAATAAGTCCTTCAGTTACCATCGACCTATTTGAGCCCCTTTTTATTCGTTGTAACGATCAAATAGCGAACTCACTTAATATGCTCATTTTCAAGAAAGCGCCTTCTAAGTTCACGTATTGTGACCAACTATGGAAGCCTACCTCTTACATTGTGCGAGGCCCGACACGCACTAGGGCCAGTTTTTAAGTGAATATCCTGGCTTTGAAAATTTGAAGTTACTTTTTAAAAATCTGTCGCGAATTATTGTTGCGCTGTGCCCGAAATCTACACAACCGTGAAAAACAGCTGCAACTATGACTATAATATTAAAAATGATTCTATAAATATAAATATTTCCGCATTCCTCGATTTCTGGACTGTACCTACAGTATAAGAGATATTGTGGTTATGTCTGTAGATTTTCTTTTCTTATGCACGTTAAATTTGTTTGATCTAATAATGTCAGTATAACTAGGCAGATTTAGAAATTTTAGAAGGCTAGGAAACTTTTAATATAATTAATTTATGGGATAAAAGATAAAACTTGGGAACATGGCAATGGGTGATATAGATTGTATCGTAAAAACTAATTGCTCTAGTTTCATCATACAGGGAGAGAAAACAGAGGTATATATCTTTTTTAATACCTACATTTGGACACCTCTAAAAATAAGAATAAGGATAAAAATATTAGACGATTCACTTTTTAATGATTCCGAGAACACTAGTCAGTTTCAGATAAAGTGCTGACATATCTTCTGGCTTTACGAAGCAATAACCAATTACCTTATGCTACTACACCATATGATAAATGATCGCTGATATCTAGACATGTTGCCTCCTTGTTAAATAAGCTAATAAGATATTATAATCAGTAAGTTATTACTCTTAAGAAATGAAGATTTTTTTTTATGCAAACATTTAAGGTTTCAGGGTAGCGGCTTGCAGGTGCAAATGAAGTTTTTTTTCTTTTTAGTTAATTTGGGTTAAAATTATGAATGTTTAATAACAATACTTAAAATTTAAACTAAGTTAAAATTAAAAATGAGATGAGAGATCCTCGGGCTAACTCCTTGACTTCAAGCTGCTATTGAGAATTTCTTAACAAAAAATCTCAATAATACTTTTTTTTGTCTGACCCGAGATGATTACGTATATCTTACCAAATAAAAATTAAAATAATTTTAAGAGTTCTAACAATTCTTTTAAAAGAGAACGATTAGAAAATATTCATACATGAATGAAATTAATTAACACGCGTAATATTCCTTTTAAATTTTGCACGTAGAAATAATTAAAATATTTTATGACCTCAATAATTGTATACGGAATGCATAGAGTGCATAAGTGACTAGAATATGTATGTACTTACCTTGAAATGCTGGTGAGCGGCTTGCTCCTCGGCTTCGTAGATATGCTTTATATTTTCTATACGCATTTGCTTCAGGATGCCCGCCACTTCAATCCTGGAACAAGCATATATTAACATTGGTTAACCCCATATCATTCCGTCGTAAAAAGTGACACAGCAAAATCATCGTCCTGATAACAATTAAAAATAATAAAAAGCTAGTTGCCAACCCGCAACCAAGCGCAATTTTCTTTATAACCGATATATGTGGTATAGTCATGCTGCAGCTATATTATGGTTGTAGCACGAATGGGATCATCTGAAAGGGGGAACCCTTATAGTGGTAACTAGGCATTCCATCGTAGTCCTCAGGGATGACAACATATCTGCATTTTGATGCTTTAATCGAGCATAAATGTAGATGTCTATGGGCCACAGCAACCACATATTTCAGGTGGATTGTGTAGTTTTTTGTCGCACTTATTCTATAAAAAAATTAGGCAATCTGCGTGGGAGGCCAATGTCTAGCAGTAAACTTTTTATAAGTTGTTATGAATGAATTAATAAAACTATTGCTATGCAAGGTTTTACTACCAACTACAATAAAACTGATGCGCAGGTTAGAGTTGAGTTGTAACTTTATTAACGTTAAATAGAAAACTATTAAAATTATTGGGAACGACATATCTTCATGTTAAGTTGCATTCCAGTATTCCCATACAAATATCATCCATCTCATCATCTACTCATTTGCTTATTCCCTTAGCCGATTTAACAATAACAGAGACTGGCGATGAATTTCCTAAATTCCTAGAAAATCTAGTTGGCTTAAAACCTAGATGACTGAGTGTATTCACATCAAGTGTGTATGCCGTAAAGTGATTCATGTAAGGGAATTCATCACCATATTTCGTTCTGTATTAAGGCCATGGGAAATGCTATAAAATATATGAGATAGTGCCCGCAATTGAAAGATAGCGCAAAGCGCTCTTTAAACTATATTCAAATTAATAAAATAATATATAATCGGAATCTCGGAAACGGTACTTTCTTTTTGTGTGCAGGAAGTTTCGGGGGCAATAAATCGATCTAGCTAGGACTTATTTTTAGAAAATGTCTTTTTGTCCGTGTTTTTAGGCAATGAAAAACTGCTACAATATCGTTAGAATAAGAAGGTAAATTTTGACAGTTTATTAATGATTACAAATAGCTTAATTGGTATATTGGGCGGTCACAAAATCGTATTTCCATGGTTCGAGCCCAGACCGACCGACAGACTTTTTCTAATTTTTTTTTCAAGTTCCTTTCTTTTTTGAGAAAATCTATTTTTTCGAGCCCTTTTTTTAGTATTTTTTTAAAAACACGAAAATTTAAATTAAACTAATTGTACTCATGATTTTTTATTCAAATAACCAGTTCAGTTTTTTCTATTATGTCGCTAAGATCAAAAAATATTATTCGTATGTCATCAGTATGTAATTTGTATCTAAATATAATTTCCAAAACACACGAATTAAAAAAACCGAGCGAAAAATACCGAGCAAAGCTCGGTCAACCGGGTACTAAGACTTAATACGCCTAAATCAGCTACGGGCAGCAGCGTCAAAGGTACAAGACATCTGGCATTGCGATCAATCTGCCTGCTAAATCCTCCCTGCAACGTTAGAAGCCTTTGTCCAGCACTCTGGACTTTTTGGAGCCAATCAGTATCTCCAGTAATAGTGTAATCAGTAATCAATACACGAATATATAGTTCTGTACAATAAACTAATGCGGGTTCTTAGATAAATGATAGATAACACTTTATTGTACACCAAAAAAATATAAACGTAAACCAAAAAAGAAGGAAAAAGAAATGTGGTACAATAGATGGTCTTATCGCTAAAAGCGATTTCTTCCAGACAACATTTGCATGAACAGTATTGCAAAAGATTGGAAAGTAAAAACATGTGTGGTTTTGCGTGGTTTGATGAAACAATAGGAATAGGACTATTTTATTATTATAAACCATCACATTAAAGTCATATACCTAAATGAATAATATAGAATATAAATTAATAACAGTAAAATATAAGTAACGGTACGTAACCTTAGCGCTGAACGAAACGTGTAGGGGATAGCTGCGAATGTCGCCGGGGAACGGAATGCGACTGGAGAGCCAATCAGCGCGTGCGAACGATACGCACAGCACACGCAATAATGCAATAATGCGCAATACGGCCAATTATAAGCAATAACGGTCATCCCTAGACTTTCGTTCCGCGAGTTGTACACAGTATGCAACAAACAACCAGATGATTCTTTAAGGGACGTATAGATGATAGTTGTACGTAATTATACGCATGGCATTTACGAAAGTGAATAAAGTATAAATACATAATTTCCTCCCTACTATGCAACTCATGTTATTCGTTGCTAATGTAAGGCATAACAATCAACTGACTGTAGTAGTTAGCAGTGAAATGGTCCCCCAAGACCTGAATAGTTGCTTGTTTATAATAAAAACCGTATCTACCTCACACGCATATTCTCTTGCAACCTTCGCAACGGACCAAGGTACTCCTGCGATCGTCCACCTCGAACCTCCGCAAGCTGGTACTCCACATGTTTCACTCGCTCGTTGTACAGCTGCTCTCGGAGCACGGTGAACTGTCGTTCGAGGTTTGCTGGAATTCATAATGTACATGTTATGTTTTTAAAACTAAAGTAACAAACTAACATTCCATCCATGTGATGGTAAGTGGCTACTTCAATCCATAAACAGCTGCAGCCAAGCCTAACAACCCGCCTCTAAAAAAAATTTTACAAATGTTCCGGTTTAGAAAAAAAAACAAGTTTTGGGATAAAATATAGCCTGGATCGCTCCTGACATTGCTCTCCGTCTTTTCGTCAAGTTCCATTACAATCGATTCTGGCATTCCGAAGATTAGCGTCTTAGATGTCTTAATGGCGTGCTAATAACAAAATATTGGCGTAATAAAAAGATCAGGTCAATAAAAAGAATTAATTTTAATATTACAGACAGATTCAATTTTATTTATGGATGCATTAACTTTTAAATCTGTAAATCTGCTCAGTCTCATCAACCGAATCACTACACAGGCCTGTTCCATAGTTGACGGCGCATGTACAATTTAATTGTCACTTTCAGCAATATGGCTGCAGTAGTATTGCCGACTTTACTTCATCATCGATGCCAAATCTTTACCCATGCAATTCTTTCTTGCCAGGCCAGGACAGGTGTGGGCTGTACAGTGGGTGGCGCAGTTGTACAAAACCGCACCGATGAATGGCAGCCGTCGCAACAAATTTGTGTGCACGGGCACACTGTCGTGCAAAAAGGAGCACGCCTTTTGTAAGCTTTCCTCGCCTTTTTACTTTAATAGCTTCTTTTAATTCCTAAAAATCTAGTAAAGGAACATAGTATTCTCCGGTTATGGAAACACTACGTTCCTTATAATCAATCAAAAGGATACCTTCTGTATCCCAAAAGATTGTCGCCATTATCTTTCCAGCCGATTGAGAATCCTTGTACTTCTTAGGAGGAGGTATCTTCTTCTGCCCTTTTTACGCCACTGCATCAACTCTTACTTTGACTACAATGGTGAACTCAAGAATTAATAATAATAATGTCCTCCAGACCGAATTTCGATCACGGCGGCCACTCTCAACGGAGACTAGCCATCGGCGCAGGACAGGATTATAGTGCCCAAGTTTATGCGCAATCACAGATGCACTATCTATTCCCTCACTCTCATAATCCGATGGGACGGTAAACCGACACGACTGGAGACTAGTGTTGCCCAAATCGGTCTTGGTCTTGCAGTCTTGGTCTTGTTCTTGTATTTTTGCAAGACCAAGACCAAGAACAAGACCGCGTAATTTTAGCAAGACCAAGACCAAGACTGACCGTGCAAGATTTGAGCAAGAACAAGACTAAGCCTGCGAGATTCTTGCGTTGCAGTTAGGAATGAGTGTCGTTTCAGGGAGTATAGGAGTTCGGGTATACGCTTAGGGACTCTATGAGACGCAAAAAATATATAAAAAAAATTGAAAAATTGGACTTATGCGCATTACGAACAATACCATAAACATACATAGCGGTGAAAATATCCATTAAAAGAAAAAACAGTGCATTCCTAGTTTTGACCATCGGCACTTTGATAGTGCGCGGCGTCTTGTTGTCGGCATCATCAAAGGTCGAATACTGACCTGTCAAAGAAATTTTGCAGCTATTCGGAAGTATAAGGTCAAGATACACGCGCCGGCGGCTTCTATTGATATCGCATTCAATCGTCGCCGCCGCGCCGCTCGCACTACATTTGACAGTGTTTGAATGCCGCCACAGAGTACATGGTCCAAAGAATAAAATAAGTTTACGGGTGCTCAGAACGTACACGAATACATTATGCTGATCTCGCAAGGAATATTGTAATTAGATAATGGTAATGATAGGTAGATACCATAATAATTTATTCTAGTAAGTAATTATTATAATATTAACTATATGGTCTATAATAATTACTTACTATTATTATTATTAGCTAATAGATAAACATGTTCAGTAAGTTCACTGCAAATCTCGACTTTTGGAAGTGTGTGTTTTTGAACGCAAAGTGTTCGAATATGTCGTCACCCATTTGATAAATATTGTAGACACTTGAAACGTGTAAACATTTTGTACAATGCTAATCGAATAATATAAAAAGTGTGCATATTAAATAAAAAGCGTAAAATAAGATCTATGTACTTTTTAGGAGCCCGAGTATCTCTTAGAGAACCGTTTAAAGAAATTGATTGCATCCAATTAATGTAAATAATGGGGAAAACAGTGATTATATGACTATTCAAAAGTGTGTTTTTAATGCCTACTTGAATAAAACATATTTGAATTTTGAATTTCAAACGAGTGAAGGCAAATTTAATTTAATTAACGTAGATTAATTCAATCACAAGAAGAACATAATATACACAATTTTATTTACATATTTACTTTTCATTTTTACGTAGGCACACTATACCTATCTGGCAACGCATCTACTTTATTAATCTTCTGAAGAATCATTAATTTTATCAAAGGATGCCGAACTTTCCTTTGTCGGTCTTTCGGCGTGTACTTACAAATAGTAGTATTTATTTTAATTCCAGTCGTTCCCAATTGAGCTTTGCTTCGAGTCTAATGTATTAATTGTTTTTACTCTAATCCTTGTTGTTCTCGGAGTGATAAGTTTACAATTTGACATGAGTGACGAAGAGTCTAATAGTTCTAGTCGGAGTAGTGATAGTTGGAGTTATAGATCTAAAAGACCTAAAAGGAAATTTGATGAGTTTTTCGACATAATTCATGCATCCCAAATTGCTTTGTGTAAATTATGCCAACATAAAAAGGTTGAAATAAAAATGAAAAACAGAAACACTTCTGGCTTAAGGAAGCATCTATATATCTTTCCACAAAAAGGAATCACAAATATTTCTTCCTGAAAAACCAAAATTAAGTGGAGATATCACAAGCTTTTTTAATAACCACCGGAAAAAGAGAACAGGTAAGAAAAAATATACTTATCACACGATTACATAACACATATATTATGTAACTAGCAGCCGCCTGCGACTTCGTCCGCGTACAATATCTGATTTCCTATGAGATTTTGAAATTTTCTCGCTGCAAAAGTCTTACCTAAGTATAAAGAGGCTATATAGATAAAGCTTAACTATGCTATTATTTATTATTTAAGACTAATAAAGTAAATGTCGATCTTCATATCTATACTTTAAAAATATAGGACTTGCATGTAACCATTTTACCCCAATTTCACCCCTTAGGGTTACACATGATTTACTGTTTTATTTCACTCTGAAAATAGCAGTGACAACATCACGACAGCTACAGTTGATTGGATGGTTAAAAAATATCTTCCCTTCTCATTTTTCGATGACGAAGCTACACAAGTATATTTTCGATCAATTTGCCCAAATATGGTGTTTCCTAAAAGGTCCACACTTAGAAGGAAGGTCAAAGAACGGTTTGAAGAGCTTCAATTGAATCTTAAGAAACGACTACATCAATTTTCATCTAAAATGTCATTTACCATTGATGGATGGACGTTAATTGCTGGTAGGAGTTACTACGGGGTCACTATTCATTATATAGACAACGTATGGAAGTATCGATCTGTAGTCCTTGATTTTATACCATCACGCGGTCGACATACTGGGGAAGATATTGCAACGATTTTCCACGAATGTTTATTGGAATATGACATAATTGATAAAATACAGGGTATCACGGTCGACAACGCAACTGCAAATGTACGAATTGGACAAACAGCTGCCACACTTTGATTCAGACAATCAACATTTCCGGTGCTTTGCTCACATTTTGAACCTTGGTGTACAAGATTTATTAAATACCTTAGCATTACACAGTGAAACTGACAATAAGGAACAAGAACAGCAGTATGAAGATAATGAAGACGAAACTGAGGAAGATGAAGAATATGCGCCAAATATTACTGACTCACGTACAGCTATAACAAAATTACGCAGTATTTCCAGTAAAACAAAAAGAAGTGAGATATTGAAGAGAAAGTTTCAGTCTGCTTGTGAAGCAGCTGGCGTGCCATCAAATCTAAACCCCATACTCGACTAAATATGTTACATTACCGCTAGTCATTGTATTATTCAATCTCTTGCTCGATAAAATTGAATCCATGGTAAAACAATTGGATGAGAAACCTAATCGATCCGAAGTGGATGAAAGGCTCATTCTGGGTTTTCTAGCAGCTCGAGACAAAATGCTTAAACATTATAAAAGGAGCAACTGGATTTATTGTACCTCTTTAATTTTAGACCCAAGGCATAAGACTTTTTGACATGACATTATGGGGGAAGCAAATTAAAACAGAAAGCCTGCGCAAATTTAATGAACTTTATAAAGAATATAAAAGTCTACACTCAGTGAATACATCTCTAGAATCACCAAGAAATGAAAAGAAAGTATGTGAATATGATGAAGATGAAGACTAGACGAAGAAGTAATAGACTTTGAGAAATTGTATGCATGTCCCTCGACGTCATCTGGATCTCGATCTTTTCATCAAGGCTTAGTTATAGACGAGTTGGAGGAGTGCCTAAGTAAACCCAGAGCCGCCAGTTCGGAAGACATTTTAGAGTGGTGGAGGACGCATGAGACAGAATATCCGACTTTATCGAAGATGGCCCGTGATTTTCTTTCAATACCTGCAACTTCAGTACCTGCTGAGAGATTATTTTCTAAAGCATCATTAGTAATTAGAAAACATAGAAATAGGTTAAGTGATGAGTAAGCCAGATGGTTACTTTGTGTTAATTCTTGGTCAAAAGAATTAATATAAAGTAACAGTAATGTCAAAGCTGTTGTGTACTGTTATGTAATTTAATTTGTATTGTATTTTATTTTTTTTATTTAAATAAATGGTAAATTGTATAACTCTTTTATTCCATTTCATATAAGGGTCTATCAATCTCTTTCTAGACAGATAATGTTCTTTATAATACAGTCAAGTTAATGTCATTAGTTTGTTTTTTATATGTTTTGACTAAGTTTTAGCACATGTAAGCTTATTAAATGTAGACGTTTATTAAGAAACAGACTAACTCCCGTGGCCGTGAGACTTCGTAGACAGCTCAGTTGGTTAGAGCATTGGCACGGGTCGCTTAGGTCGTGGGTTCAAACCCCACCTGGTATTAGTTGATTTTTCGAATTTCTCATTAAATGTTTAGACATTTATTAATTTGGTTGGTCTTTCTACGGCTATGTTAATTCAAGCTTGTTTGAAAAGGGTGTGCTATTTATATATCATGGTTTTCTCAGGAGCGGAGTTGCCAAAAACAGCTGACATCTCTTGAAAAATGGTATGAGGTATCTTTCCTTGTTTGCTGAGAAACTTAATGATGGCACAATATTCAATTTTTGCCATAGTGGATAGTTTCTTCCCGATTTACTTGTTTACTTGTTGATAACTCAAAAGCTATTGACCCAATTAGGTTGAATCTTGGTATATTACTAACAATGATTTATTCAACTAGCGCCTACCTGAATGAGTAAACTCAGCTTCGCTAATCCCACCGTTGGGCGAATTTTTGGACCTCCCCTTGTATAATGAATGCAAAAATAAAATATTGAGACCTCTCAAGGAAGTAATTATGTTAATTTCTTTCTTATGAATTCAAAACATTGTACAACATGAAATACAAAAATACGATAAATAACTAAAATCAACTAGTTTAGCTGTTTCAATGCTGGTGAGACTTCTAATCTTTTTCAGTGCATATTTTACAAAACCATATCTGTTTGCTAGTTTAGATAAACGGTAGCCCCATCAAAACTGCATCAGGAATGAATGGATGAATGGAAAAATAGCTTGAGACTCAAATTTTGTTTAACCCCTCAATCCTCTTAAAATTCCCATGCAGTTCATGCGTCTGTCAAATCCCGAGCGGTGGTCGCATGCGACCTCACCCACCCACAGCACTTAAAACCATTAAAACTTATATTTATAGACTACTTTTCTATAAAGAAGTTTGGCATTATAGAATCTATACGAAATTCTCTTTCCTGTGGTCTAAACAAAAGTCGGTTACTCTATGTATTTTATTTTTATTCTCCTGTCAATTTACGACATTTGCCGACCATACGAAAATGGTGCAATTTTATGGTAGATAAGAGTCAATAGTGCTATATTTAACTTAGGTAAATTGCTAAACATTTTGATTTTAACCGCTCAATCCCCTAGTGGACTCATGAAACCGCACCCACCCACAGCACTATAACCCATAAAAACTTATATTTAAAGACTACTTTTCTATGAAGAAGTTTGGCATTATAGAATAAATATGAAATTGTTCTATCCTCTACTTGAATAAAAATTCAGTTAGTCTATAGATATTTATTTACGTTATTTTTCTACATTCAAAGTGTCATCAATGTTGCATTGATTTTTGGATTTTTCTAAGTTAAGAACAGTTTTTTATATTATATAATTGTTATGAAATTGGATATAATTTATCTTTTTACGTAAATGATTTCGAGTAATATATATAAAATAAATTGCTAAACATTTTGTTTTTAATTTTTTTGTCTGCCGATAGAACTACTATATCACGTCTATCACTTACTATGTAAACAGAGTCTTTAATTTAAGCAAGAAAAAGAAAGGTTTGAAATTGAGTTGAGTTTGCTCCTATTTGTACTATCGTTTCAGAAGAACTCTTACAGTTGATACAATAGTTTGAATTCTGTTACTTAAATATGAAATAATAAATTTAAGACCAACACTGCTTACAACATAATATCAGTTTCCTGATTAATGTCATGGTAAATACAAACAAAGGCTCCGAATACAAAAGTCACAAAAGTATTAAAAACTGACTCATACATTATAAATATATTTAAGCTCAACACCACCCTTTGCCAGCTGTCAAACCACCCATTATAAAACTGAATTGATTTTTAAAGGGCAAACAATTTCAACTACATTAATAAAAACAACATTTATTCTAAAATATTTTCAATAGGTTTATGAAGTGTTGAAAGTACAGAAATAGATCTTAAATTAACAGAGTCCAATGTATTGACAGATTAAATATAAAGGTATTATTAAGACTATGTTTAACTAAATCAGGAAACAGAACAGATTAATATTTGTATTAAAAATAATAGCTAGTTGAAGTGCAATTTGTTTTTAAAGTAAGTATACAAATGTAACGGATAAGAACTAAGGTTCTACTGCCAGTAAGGTTACTTATTATGATTATAATATTTATTTATACCAACTTCACAGGAAGATAATTAACTGACTGAAATGACTGACATTAATGTATTAGATACATTAAACATAAAGAAACGATGCCTAAACATAATTCGTTTAAAATTGTAAGTTAAAATTTATTAATCAAAAATCACTGTCCATTCTCAATTAATACCTTTAAATAATAATAGCTACGTACCTTTAAAATTTTAAGCAATAAAAGGATAATACACGGACACTCTCCTCAAAAGGTCTTAGTAAAAAACACTCGCTTAACGTCCAACCTAAGGCTCAAATTCGTGTATCCTGAAAAATGTTTGTAAACATAACCTCAAAATGTTATTGGAAAACGTACCCAAGTTATCGAGGCACTCATTACGACGTCGCTCACATTCACTTTCATCCATTTCCGAGGAGTCGTCAGAGTCCGGTTCATCAGCCTCTTCCGCGCTGGAGTCGCGGTCCGGACCCCTAGAAGATCCACCAGACCTTTCAGTTTCTCCACCGGACATATCTCCATCTCCGTCACTATCGCCCTCCACTTTCATCGAAGGCATATTGATAACAATGCTGAATTCTATAAAATCACGACGCTATCCCGATTAGTTAACAAAGAGTTAGTCAGTTTATAAAACCCGCTCAATCCGGAACAATTTTCAACACAAACACAAGTAAAACGTCAAACGTCAAAGACGAACGTCACAATGACAAGGTCACAACTCACAATTGGGTGCGTTTGGCAGAAAAAAGCGCTAGCAAGCGCATTCAAGCGTTGAAATAGTTTTCGGCCAGGACACGATTGCTACTTCAGTAGCGCTGACACAATCCGCCATTTTGCTTATTTAATTTGTTTGTTTCGAAGTAGAGTTTATAAGTTGTTTTGTGCAATATTAGTTTTAAGTAATATAATGACATAAATAAACATATACATGTTATTAAAATATTCATGATTGGTAAGTTTTTCATATGAATACTTTACTAACATATATTTAAATTAGGTTAGGTTCCCCGGTTAAAACTAACATCGTGTCCTGGAGGAAAATAGCTCTTACGATTTGACAGCGCTTATCGCTTACGATCGCCATTTTACTTACAAGCGCTTGCTAATGCTTTTTTCTGCCAAACGCACCCTCACAAGCTAATTTTGTTGTTGTTACGATTCGCCAATAAGGCAGGCAAAAATCTTAGACCATACAATCTTGTTTGATTTTGTAATATGTTCACAGAATTATTTATAATATACTAATGTGTTACGTTGCGTACAGCCGTATAATACTTACTCTTGTGTCAACTGTTTTTTTAGCACATAAAAAGTGTGAGAGGGCGCTGTAAGCTGTAACGCACATAAATATTACTGCTCCGTTGTTTTAATGTTAAAATAGTGTAAAATCACGAATATTATTAACAATTGAAGTATAAAAAGTGTTAAAAAGGATCGTAATGGTCATAGACTTTTATAAAGTAAATACAGTGAAATATCTTAAAACTCTTCCTGTGGAACGTTTTGATTATTTGAATACCAAAATCAATAATAAGTGTCAGACTAAAAACTCAAAACGGTTAAATAAGTGATTTAATAACCTAAGAATTTAAAATGACTAAGCAATATTAATTCATCGATCTAAGGTCACTTCACCGCCATCTATCGGTGAATACGAAAATTTACAACAATACTTCACGGCCTATCACAGTAAGGTTATCACTACTAAATAAAAGAGGGCAATTATTTGGGATAAGCTTATTGTTGTTCTAAAGAAATATGGAGGAAATAAAAGATATGCTTCTTAAAATTCAGGCTGATATGATGTCCCAAAAAGAAGAAATAAAAGGTATGGAAAAAATATCACAACAAACATCAATAACAATATAAACGAAAAATTAAAAAAAATTGAAACAAAAACTAAACAACTGCAGGAAAAACTCGCGGAAAATGAAATGGCCCTGGAAAAAATTGAGAGAGCTGCGTAAGAAAAATTTGGTGTTGTTCGGAGTTGAGGAAAAAAAGGGTTCATATTTTGATCTAGTAGATACCGTTTTGGAAATAATAAAAGAGTTTATGAAAATAACTTGCGAAAAACAAGAAACAGAGTCTGTTCGAAGAATAGGAAAAATTGGTGAGAAAGCAAGACCCGTTATAATATCATTTACAACAATGGACCGAAAAATTGAGGTTTTAAGTAACAAAAAAGGTCTAAAACACTCTCCTTACTATATTATGGAAGATTATCCTAAGAAAATATTAGAAAAACGAAAACAGTTAAAGGAAGACCTGGCAAAAAAAATAGAGCAAGGAAACAATGCAGTCATCAGGTATGATACAATTATAATTCTTAAGGAAAAAAAATTACCGCAGCAAAATAACAAAAGAAATTTATCGGTATCACCAGAAAACTCTGGAACATCCAACTCTCCATTTACATTACTCAGACTTCTAAGAGGAATAGGACTATTAAAGCATTTATGGCAACAACAAAAGTGAAGGAAAATATGGCAAAGAAGGTTAAGGAAACCATGGGGTCTACGGAATGCAACAAATAGTGCCCCCTCCACATCTATTAAAGCAACAGGAAGAAAACTCTACAAAAATATTAAACACAGCTCTCAACAGTCGCCGCGAGAGCTTTAGACCAGAACCCTCCAGCGATAGTTTATCGAATAAAAAACAAACTCTAATAACAAAAACAGGTTCTAAAAGAACAGGTACAATCGAAATATTGACTCTTAACACAAGAACTCTAAGAACAGAAGCAAACCCAGGAGCTTGAAATCGCGCTATCGGAACTATGATGGGACATATTGGGGATCAGCGAAATGCGCAGACTTGGAGAATCAATCGAAAACCGTAATCAATATATACTCTACTATAAAGGTGTAATTCCGGGACAAAGGGGAGTCGGATTCCTTATTAAAGCCTCGCTGAAGAATCAAATAAAGGAGTTCAGAGGTATATCTGACCGCAAAGCCTATATCAATATGACATTACCTGGTTATAGCAAGGATTGGGTAATCATACAAATTTATGCCCCAACAGAGCAAGCTAACCCTAGCGACTTAGACCAGTTCTATCAAGCCCTCAGTGAAACAATAATTAAAGTAAAGAATAACCATATCATTGTAATGGGTGACTTTAATGCACGGGTTGGAGTAAGAAGCAGTGGTGAAGAGAATGTTCTTGGTAGATTCGGTCACGGTAAGAGAAGCAAGAATGGGCAAAACTGATTCATTTCATGCTAGAAACTAATTTAACTACACTAAACAGCCTTTACAGAAAGAAATACAAAACCAAATGGACTTGGAAATCACCGGATGGAAAATATAGGAACGAAATAGACTATATTACAACTAATAACCATAGAGCTTTCACAAACACTGAAGTAATCCAAACACTAAACTTTAACACTAACTATCGTATGGTTTGTTCATCGCTTCTGTTGATACATGCAAAGAAATCACGCAAAATAATCACGGAAAATCTCAAAATAAGTAACAAAGTGAAAGAAATCAGAATGCCTTATTCTCCTCCTTCAAAGCATAGCACAACTCTAAGGGAGAGCCGGAAAGAGATAGATCTACAGACAAGGTACAACTTAATAGAAAACCAACTGAGTGGCACATTTACTTTCTCTAAAGACAAAAAATGTTAATTGAGTACAGAAACAATCGAACTTATAGAGGAAAGAAAAAAATTAATGTCAAAAACTTGGAAAGACGGAAAACTCAAAGAAAGAGAGCTTGCCGCATTACGTAAAACTATTTATAAAGCCATTAAAAATGACCGGAAGAAACACAGATTGGAAGTTATCGATAAGCACATCATAAAATCAGGCGGAGTAAGGAAGGCACTCAAAAGAGCTACGGGAAGTTACCAAGGAATGGATGCCCGAAACCAGAAAACAGAATAAAGCATATAATAAACGTAAGGACATCATAGAGTGTGCCACTGATTTCTACCGACGTCTCTACAGTAGAGAAGTATCGTTGCATAAAAAGTTTAAAACGATTATTACAACACATGACAAACCCCTATCTATATTATGTAGCGAGGTAGAGAAAGCTTTAAGCTCACAAAAACTAAATAAAGCACCCGGACCAGACAAGATTACGAATGAGGCTCTACAAGGAACATCTAAGGAGTTATGTCCAATACTTGCAAGAATGTTTACTGAATTATTATATAGAGGTCAAATACCGTATCAATGGTCAAAATCACACATCATATTGATACACAAGAGCGGAGCAAAAGATGAAATAGGCAATTACAGACCAATCAGCTTAATGTCGAACATTTGCAAAATATTCGCTAAAATAATTCTCGACAGAATCACTCTTCAATTAGACGAAAAATAGAACAGGCGGGTTTTAGACGTAACTTTTCAACCATTGACCATATCCACACGGTTAAAAAGGTACAATGAATATAATAAACCACTCTACTTAGCCTTTGTAGATTATAAAAAAGCATTTGACAGTTTATACCAAGAAATTATCTGGGAGAGTCTAGAAAGGCAAGGCATTCACAAAACGTACATAAACATTCTAAAACAAGTCTATGATGAATGTCAGTTAATAAGGTAACCCTATTTCCCGTAGCTGTTTTGTTTTTTTCGTGGATGAGGGCTGAATAAATGGAAGAAGACTTCACCACCTCAGATTCGCCGATGATATCGTTTTATTCGAAGAGAATCCCAAAACACTTGAAAGAATGATACAAGATCTATCAAATGAAAGTAAAAAAGCTGGTTTGGAAATGAACACCGAGAAAACCAAAATAATGTCCAATAGGGATCAGATACCAATAGTTGTTGACGGTGAAGTACTAAAATACGTGGAAGAATACACTTACTTAGGCCAAATCATATCATCGAAAGACCTAACTTCCAAGGAAATACATAAAAGAATAGCGTATGGGTGGAAAAAGTATTGGTCACTAAAAGAAATAATGAAGAGCAAAGAATTGGGAATGGCAGGAAAACGAAAAGTGTTCGAAATGTGTATTCTTCCCTGCTTGACATACGGATGCGAATCTTAGGCCCTCACAGCTTCACACAGAAACAAATTGTTAACATGCTAACGAGCAATGGAGAGGAGCATGATTGCTATAAAGAAAACCGACCGGGTCAGGAATGAAGACATTCTGAACAAAACCCAGGTACCTGATATATTACAAAGAATAGACTTACAAAAGTGGAGATGGACTGAACACGTGCTCAGGAATCGTCAAGAAAATTGGAGCCAAATTGTCACAAATTGGTATCCAAGAGATGGCAAAAGAAGCAGAGGTGGGCAGCGTAGAAGGTAGGAAGATGATTTAAAATACACGGCTGGTCCTTACTGTAGACGATTAACACTCGACCGGAAACAATGGAATAGTCTGGAGGAGGCCTTTGTCAATAGACATTCCGAAATCAGGGATTTTATATGGTAAATAATAATAAAATAAATATTTAATATAGTTATGCAAATAGTTTCCTTATGCTAAGTCTTGTTTTAATTAATTTAAATATTTAATAATAATAAATTAAATAAATGTCATTGTTCTGATTAATTTATATAAGAT